TCTGCCTGAGGCTACCCAGCAGGAGCTATGTGCAGATTTCCAGATTTCTCTTCTTTGTTTGGGGTTTGGAGGTGCCCAGATGAGGCCCAGCTGTGAAGCAATGCAAGCTGCCTTGGGCCTCAGCTCAAGCCCTTATTCAACCACAGCAGCATTCTCCTCCCTGTCATAAATCCTGTGGTAGCATGCTCACACTGTCACAAGCTTCATCTCAGCAGTTTGAATTGGATAAGAAAGGGCTCTTCTTTGGTTGGTGACTGTTTTCTTATTCTGTGGGTAATTGTGCCATTGACTGCAGGTAATGACAACAGGGTCTCTCTTGTTTTTTCTAGGTGGTAAACCGTATGATTTCTTCTGACTTGTTTTGTCTTCTACCCGTAATTTCTGGAGCTCAAACTCTACCCTCTGCACTTTACTTCCGCACCTCCTCTGAGTCTCAGTGTGCTTTTCTCTTTCCTTCTAGTTGTAGAATCTCCACTCAGCCAGCCTTCCTGTGGTTCTGGATGATGTCTGTTTTGTCTTTTAGTTGTATTTTTGAAGTGGTTGTGGGAGGCAGCAATTTCCGGTGTTTACCTATGCCGCCATCTTGGTTTCCCTCAAGCATGTTCTTATATATTCATATTTTTTGTTTGGAGAAACCCAGTGAAAGTTTTTTGATAAATCTAAATTTGTTTCTCCCTTATGGATATGGGAATTATATTAATCAGGTTAGAGGTTTCTATTCATTGCTAGCTGTGATCTGTCGGTTTTGTATAACTGAATGACCACCACTATGCATATATCTGTTGTGTAGCTAGTGACGTTTTTGCAGTGTGTTCTGAATTGTTGATGCCTTAAGGCAGCGGTTCTCAACCTGTGGGTTGCGACCCCTTTGGGGGTCGAATGACCCTTTTACAGGGGTCGCCTAAGACCATTGGAAAACACATATATAATTACATATTGTTTTTGTGATTAATCACTATGCTTTAATTATGTTCAATTTGTAACAAAGAAAATACATCCTGCATATCAGATATTTACATTACGATTCATAACAGTAGCAAAATTACAATTGTGAAGTAGCAACGAAAATAATTTTATGGTTGGGGGTCACCACAACATGAGGAACTGTATTAAAGGGTCGCAGCATTAGGAAGATTGAGAACCACTGCCTTAAGGAAGGCTATACTACTCTCTGTAGGTTTCGAACCAGGGTATTCCTGGTTTTAGTCATCAGGAAAGTTGTTAGTCCTCAAAGAAGAAATAGAGCCTAGGAAAGCAGAAGGAATTGCTTCTTCCTTTTAGGGCTTTATTCTCTTAGGCTTAGACTTGAAGATAGCTGATGATGAGAAACAGACAGGTTCCTTCCTTCCTGGAAAATAGAACTGGTATGGAATGGATCCATAAATCAAAACATATCTTGAAAAACAGATTTGCGTTTTGCATGTTTCTTCTCCTTCCCCTTTCTTATTTTCCAGCTTTAACTTTTCCATCCTTGTTTGAGCAATGTCTCGAGAAAGCAAAGAACCTTGTAGTAGCCCTCCTTAGTCCAGAGTGGGAGAGGGAAGAGTACTGTACTTTAGAAACACTACAAGGGAAGAGAGAAATGGGAATAGAATACTTTATAAACTATACATATTGAGTTCTAGGTAGCACTACAGATTACATTAAGGAATTATTTTTAATATTCACTGTTAGTATTTCAAAATATGATAATAGCATTGGGTTTGGATTCCTTATCTTTTGGATACATATATTAAAATATTTAGAGATAAAATATGGTGTCTTGGATTCCTTCAAAGTAAACCTTGAGGGCAGTGAGTGACA